ACGAGTTTACGATGAGCTGCCAACTCCGCTTCTGAGCTAAAGTCACTTCTTTCACAGATCTCACAGCTGCTCACGACAATGTTGTTATTCACCGAGTCCTGCTTCTTGTTATCGGAAATGTTACCATTCGACGAGGGATGGCTGGATGGAGAAGTCTTCACTCCCTTGCTAGGCTTGTGATCAACCTCTTCTGCTCCATTCAGAACCTAAACAAATTATAAGTTAAAATTATGTATTCAAACAAATACAAATATATTACTTAGCTACTTAGCTTTTGTCAACAAGTTCAAGCTTGTTACTAATCCTTGTAATTCGAAACTGCGACTATTGTGTACCTATGTTCTCATTGAAGATTTCCTTGTGGCTCCTTGTGAACCTAAGTTGATTGAAAAAGTCATATTTCTAATAGTAGAATTTAGGTGAAGTGAAGCACTTATTTACAAAGCTTTGTTGCATTATCTGCAGTGATTAAAAAAATTTTGTACCCAGAGTTTTTGAGGACCTTGCATATAAATACAATTTGCTAACCTGTGCTGAATGATGAGTCTGAAGATGTTTGTCCAGAAGGAACTCGACTGGGAAAGATTCTTGACAGAGGTGACAATGGAATTGCTTGGTGTGTACAGGCAGATGGAGCTGCATCTCTAGTTCAGAGGGGAAACTGAGATGACAGAACAGACAACGGAACATACCAGCCTGTCAACAAACACAAAACATTTTGTTAATGCTGAGTCGTTATACTGCCGGACTAATAATCAGAATGTCACTGGTTTCATCCTGAGAAAAGTCAGAAGCTTTTTGATGGTTCAAAACTAAACCGCTGTCCTTGATCAATGGGCCTTGAATGATCCTAGCTTATATAACTGCTGCTTGTAATCAGTAATAAAGCCACACAGATCATCTCACTCCACTCTACACTAGTAATTCTTTAGAACTTCACACTTTGAGATGTATCTATTAATTTTTTTTCTTCTGATGGTCTAGACAAGTGTATGTTCCCAAAGTGTGCGAAAGAGTGGAAATCTACTGCACTCATTTCCTATGCTTAATAATGCAAAATTGTTGCAGATATGCTACACACCTGCACTATTGGAGGTTTTGGAGATGCAAGATGTTGTGGCGTGTGCATCGTCCTGACGTGAAGTGTAAAGTCCATCTCCGAGCGGTAAACAGCAACTGAAGGACAAGCTGTACATCGAAATAGCTTGGACTCGTTACTGTGCTTCACGGCAAAGTGGACCTGTTAAATGAAAGTCGTGAACTATATAATAGTTTATAATAAACAGTATTAGCAGTTTATGAATACGTGTTTTAAACATCTCATTTAAAGTTACATTTTAAAATACAAATAAATATTGATTGAGCCTTGAATAGTTTATGCTGCTTTCAAATGCCATTTCTCATCAAACTAGATGGCAGGCTTCTACAGAAAAGTAAACTGACAAATTTTGGTCTTTGATAGAACTATCTCGTATAACTGATGAGTTTAATTGAAACTGTCTGTAGCTTTTCCCCCTTTCTGGAAAACATCCAAAATAACAGCGGGTATTTTCACAAGTTTAAAGAACACCATATCCAAGATTAAACTTAACTTTTCTACTTCCAAAATTTTGGTCAAACTGAGAAAATAGAGCCTTGATAGTAGCACAATCTGAGAGCGACTCGTGTACTTTTGATTTCTTAAACGTTTCTGTTTATTTATCAAAGTTGGATGACAAATACACAAGTATCCAGTTAAGAGTCAAAGCTCTGGCTCATACCACCCAGAGAAGAGGGATTTATAAAAAATGTACATATAGTAAGTAGCCTACTCAGTTTTTCAGCAATCAGTCCACAAGGGTATTCAACCTGTGCTTGGAAAGAATGAAGCTGACCTATGAGTAAGACATAAGACAAAAGACATAAGATATTTATTGCCGTTGATCATTTTTACATGAGATGGGCATGATCAGGTCTAAAGACCTGGGGGGAATGGGATCTAATAAAGTCAAAGAATGAACTGTAATGATTAAAATAAAGTATAAGATAAATTGGCGGCAACCACAACATTGCTTCCTTATCCAAAACACAAAGGTCCTTATTTTGTAATCAAAGGTTAGTACAAAATATGTTACCTGTATTGCCACTTTAGAGTCAAACATCTCTTTGCAGAGGGCACATCTGTATAGATGGTGAGCATGAATGTCCATCAGATGTTTCTGTAGTTCGTCTGGCTTAGTGAAAAGTTTCATGCAGCTCTGGCATCCGTACTCAGTTGCCGTCGCGAGAAAGTGACTGGTCAAATGTTGAGGGAGTTCCTCCTGTGAGAAAAAAAAGGTTTACAGATGGAGGTTTTTTAGAATTGACGATAGTTTAAGGGATTAAGGCATATTGATATTTGATCCTATTACAGGGTGCCTCAAGAAATAGATTGAAGAAAAAGTGCTTTTGCTGTGTAAGGACTATTGGATTAACTTATGAACTTAAATTTGCTAAGCTTTTTTCTAAGACTTTTTCAGGTAAGCTGGTTGAACTCTATCCTTTTGTACATGTGCTGTAATGCTTATGTCGTGTCTTAAAACTTCTTGTTGAAATAATATAGGAAACTATTTTTATAAATGTGTTCTTAGTAAACAGATAACAATACCTGAGAGGCTAGCTGGGCCCCGCAGTGGGGACAGACTACAGGTGGGGCTTTACGGGGCTCCCCACCACCTAGCAGACCCCCTGCCTCGTCTATATGTGACTTGATATGACTGCGGAATGCCTCAAAGTCTGGCAAGGCTGCATTGCATTGATTACACAACAGGCTGCCTGGATGGTCGTACTGGTTATGGATCTGGAAGCAAATTAAATAATATTAAGAGTTGAAGGTGTACCTCATGTCTTTATAAGTTATGAGTAGTGACAAATTAATAAATTTGTCAAAGGAGTTTAAAAGATAGGTTTGTATTAATGTCAACGGTCGATTTTGTGATGCTTACAGGTATCATTATCAAAGATATCCCTTTATAAGTGAAGAGGAAAAAAAGTTAAGAAAAATAATATATAATTGTAAAATAAATTTAGGGGCAGCTAAAATGTTTGATAAAGGAAAGACCGCAACTTAAAATGAAAAATAAATTAAATGAAAATGTTTTTACCCAGGCAGGTAAAGTTAGGACTTCACCTGTATATACAAAAATCAACAATATATTCAAAATTTCGTCACTGATATTTAATTTATTTCACATCTCAACTTACCCCACTGGGTGTTCTTCTGGCATCTATCCCATTGGAAATCCCATTTTCGGATCTCAGTCTTTTGCTTGGCCTCTCTTCTGAGTGTCTAGAAGTCTTCTTTGTCAAAGACAGGTCCGTTGGTTTCATCTGTTCCACTGATTGAGCAAACAGCCCCATGGCTGTCCCGTGGAACAGAACGTAATGTTCGGCAAACAACGCTGGTGTCGGAAACTGGAGGTTGCACTGGACGCAGAACAATGAACTCTCTTTGGCGCGGAACCCGTGGACGGTGAGAGCGTGCTTCTGTAGCGAGGGGATGGAGTGGAACCTCATGGTGCATAGTTGACAAGAGTATGGTAAAGTGGGGGAGGGAGGGGTAGAAAGTAGCGGATGCGAAAGAAGACTAGGCGAGGGTGAAGTTTGGGGAGAGAAGAGGGACAACTCTCGGTGCATCTCTCCGTTGAGAATGGAACCTGAAGGACAGAGATTGTTTGGTTCATTGAACAAGAGAGATAACTAAATATTAATAAATAGTTTAACAAAAAAGAGAGGAAAAGAGATTACATTTTACATTGATGGAAGAAAATATGAAGGTAACTCCATATTTTCAAATCAATATAAGATTTGAGTCAAACTAAAAAGACCGTTACTCAAACGTAAAATATCTAGAATTTCCTGCAGCATTTCACTTAAATTGTCAAATATGCTAATGCTATTTAGATTGTAGACTACAAGGTCATTTCTCGTGGTAATCTCACCAACTGCTTCAAACTAAACAATTCATAAATTATTACTCAGGCCCACAGTTTGCAAGTAATGTGCTTAAGTCCCAAGAGATAATATGCACCCCTATCCACCTACCTTGTGGGGTGAATGATTTTTTTCTTCCTTGCAAAACCAAACAAACCCAAAACCTCTTGCTCCCCTAGGCCCGAGCCCAAAAATAACCCTGTTATACCTAAAAACTTTGACTGTGTCAAATAAGTTTCGTCCTGTGACGTGGTCAGACCCTGAAGAAAAATGTGTAGGTCTAGTGATATATTAGTGGCCGTAGAAGCTTAACTTATTTGAATAATAAATTATTTTTAGTAATTCTGGTTGTAAATTGTGTGTATCTACCATACCTAGAGGCGGTTATTCGAGCCCCAGCCCATCTAAATTTAGGAAAAATGTTTCATTTTATTTACTGACAATATTAGCAAAAGCCATTTGTAACACAATAATTGTGTAATGCACAATAATGGACTCAAGATTAATAATTATTTAGCTTGAGTTTCACAAAAGCACGACCGCTCAAACGAAAATTGATTACAATGTCAGTAAATTACAAGAAGGTTGGCTCTACTGTGGGTTTGACTATTCTTTGAGGTTTGTGGTGTGTTCGGTATACAATTAACAAATTTAATTTGGGGAGTTTAGAAAATTTACATTTATTTACTGACTTACTTCTCGGGATAACATGAAACACATTTGGTTTTATTCAATGAAACTATCCAAATTCCAAACTTAAAAAATATACAAGTTAAATAATTCCTCTTACGAAGATGTTAAGACAAAAGCAAAGCGAACACTCACCATGCATAGCTTGAACATGCAGTTGTAGCGACTCCATGGTGTTGAAGTTGTCCTTGGTACAGTACATGCAGGCTAAGCGAGGACTGTGGGGGTAGTGTGGTGTACGGCGGGGGGACGGGGGTACAGGTGGGGTACCTCCACCACCCTCTACGTTGTGATGGGTCACCATGTGGTTCTGTGAACACATTATAGGTTACGTAAAGAAATTGTTATGGTAGTGTATCTTACTTAAATCTGTGACTGTTGATTTCTTACTGTGACATGTCATTAACTTCCTTGTAAAATTTGTAGCCAGTTTTAGATTAAAAAATAATGGGGTAAACGTCCGGCAAACCTGACTGGCTTATGCACTATTCTACACCATTTTATAATAAAAAATCGAAAATTTTCAGCTATTACTTATTAGATTATTTTGAACTTAAATTTGCTAATTAAATTTAAGGAATTAAAAATGCTAAATTAAAGTGTTCTTGAAATTTTTTCATAAAATCTGCCATTTTTTAGTACCTAATTTAAGTTTAGAAAATTAAAATGGCCGCCATTTTGAAATTTTAATTTTAAGAATCAAGATGATTTTTTTTTCTAAAATGAGTCTCTTCTACCTAACATACATACCAAGTTTCGTAAAGATCGGTTGAAAAAGTTCAAAGATAACATGATAAGGTTAAGAAAGTGAGTTTGGAAAAAATTGATTCTTGATTTTCTCCTTATTTTGACCCAAGGAATCACTAGTAAATTATGTCCCCACCTTTTTTGAACACCCAGTGTAAAAACTAAATCTGAACCTTTGACCGGCTGGTTTATGCAATTTCCAAAGGCATCATTATGGTACATGGACAAGCCAGGGTTAAAACTGACTGCTATACTAGCTTAGTGCATGTAGCCAATCCTGAACTAGAAATACCTGGAGTATCAGCCAAAAACGCTATCACTAGCGTCTATGTTCAAAAACGAATCTGTGTTACTAGGAGTAGTTTTATGACTGAAACTCCACAATTACCTGGAGTTCCTCTGGCTTGCGGAAGACTTCTCCGCACTGAAGACACTTGAACGTAGAGCCTGGTGTAGAGGAGGGAGACGGAGAAGATCCGTCACATGACTTCTTGTGATTCTACACAGAACCAAAGAATTGTCACTGTTATGAAAAGTCATGAGACTTGATACATACTCATAGATTAAACATACTCTCATATTTTTGTCATCCTTATGAATCAGCTGAAGACAAGTTTCGGTTAGGTTCCATCCTGTTTGTGCAGAAGGCCTTTTTTGTTCACTATTTGTAACTCGATATTTTATCACTAAAGAAAGGAATAAATGTATCTAAATAATCTGGAATTATAGTATGTAAGGTACAAATAGTAAGCAAATTCTCCAGATAAACTAGAAACGCCTAGGCATAATCTAAATGTTACCAACACGAAATACACATAAAACAAACTTAAGTAAGAGTTAACATAATGATGAGAAGTATTTGCTCTATTCTAAGTCAAAGATAGAATTTATGCCTGGGCTGAAACTAGTAACTTAAAAAAAATAATGTCTATTCTAATACATTTGGCATTTTAGAGGAAACTTTGGCTAAGTGTTTCATAGTATTGACCTATTTTCTATGATTTGTGATATTTAGCATTAAATTTAGGTACAAAATGAATATACATTTTTAAAACATCCATGTATGTTCATTACTCGCAAAAAAACACTGTTTTTGCCACTACCGTACATCTTCTTTCTCAATTTATTTTATACTAGAAGTCAAATAATAGTTATAAAAAGCAAACAAATGATTGGAGCTAAGTTGGCTCTTTCTTAATTCTGTGGCACCAATTACTAGAATCTGTACATGAAATGTTTGATCAATTGTCAAATAGATTTTTCCTACAGTCACCCGACAAAGTTGGCTTCCTTGTACTGTTTATAGTACAGAAAGCTGCTAATTGCTGCATATTTATACTTTGCCGTACGGTTTATACTTTGCCATACGGTTTTTACTTTGCCGCACATCAGGATTCCAACGAAACAACACAAAACAGCGTGGTTCCATTATGCACGTAATCCGTGTACGCTTGGAAATAGGTTGGCAACACTTAAAGATAATTATACTATGAGCAGCTGATTGACTATTATAACTACGATTTAACCTGTCATTTCGTGTTTATAGTTTCGGTATTTCTGAACTTTCTGTACTTTTCTTTTAAACGTTTTTAAAACCTTCCTACGATCTTAATAAACAAGAAAATACCTTTAAAGCATTTTTTTTAGGCGCGGAAACCACTTCAAATTACAAAAACATACGGAACTATATTCTCAAAACGCGGAGCACATTTCTTGCCGAGGAAAAATAGCGAAGTGATATGGACCGCGGGTACTACTTTCTCTAGGGCACCATTTGTGTTGCCAGCTGAACCTAAAAACGTGTTGCATAGTGTTTGAAAGACTAATTATTTATATGCTTTATAGTGACTGTAGGAAAAATATAATGTGTAACACGAGTTAAAAAGGCCTTTGCTGCACTCGAGATCATTCCACACTCGCCTGCGGCTCGTGCGTAAACATTGCTCTCGTGTGCAGCAAAGTGCCACTTTCACCACTAGTTACACAAATAACTATTTTATAAAGGCATAATGTTTAATCTAATATAGTTTAGTTTTTACCAATAGGTAGTGTTTTATTACCTGCATATGACTGGTAAGGGCGGCTGCAGTATTGTAGCCTCTGTTACAGATTGTACACTGGAATGGCTTTTGATTGTCATGAGTCTTCATATGGATCTTGAGATGATCACTGAAAAAAAAACATTAACAAGGATATAGAGTACAATTCGACTTTGATATAATTACATCGGAAATCAGAATACATTTGATACTGACACTCAGTGCATATATTAAGGTAACGATTAGTGAATGAAATTATAACGTTGTTATTGACTAAGATCAGCTGTTTCTGTAGCTAGAACCATTGAATGATCAAGGAAAGCTGGGCCCAGTTGTGAACCATCAAAACGCTACTGACTTCATAGGATTGAACTGGCAAACTTCTGAATAGTAGGCGAGCAATATCGTTTCTCATCTAGCCAGACATTCGTTGACAAGGAAATGTAAGATTTGGATAGTTGAAATTGAATCAAAATCGTTTAAGAAGGAAAAGAAGGTTGTGTTTATGATAATGTTCCTATTGGAATAGAATCATTTTGATAAATTTTAGTTTAGTTTTTTTCATACTTAGGCCTACAGTACATACTGAGATAGAAGTGAGAATAATGGATGTCTTTATAAATTAAACATTAGTTAAGTTACACCCACACCTCTCTTTATTTGTTCATGCAGGCCTTGTACTTTGTTAACTATAAAATTTCAAGAAAGATCACAATAAAATAGTTTCTCAGATAAGTCACACCTTGTACAACGACGTCTCTAAGAAATAATTAATTCCCTTGTTGACACATGTTTTCAGTCTCTTCACGGTAATTTTAGCAACTAAGTTCAAACAACTTATTAGTTCGTAAAGATACCGTTGTTACATTGTATGTAGATGTTAGTGCGGTAAGAACCCTTGCATAATCAATGGAAGATTCTAAGGAAACCCGTAAAAGAGTCGTGTTTTGAATAACACCTCCTAGAGAAGTAAGTAATTTGTTGCACAGATAAGATGAGGGAAATTAAAATTTAAGAAGTAAAATAGAAGTTTTACTACTTCGATTAGAATGAAATTATTGCTTTAGGAAAAACGTAATACAGTAACACTGTAACTAGGTAGAATTTTAGATATAATTCTTATGTTTAAATAATCAGTGGTAGAAAATTAAATATTAAAATGGCGTAGATAGACACAGAAAAAATCGGCATAATCCTATAAGTAGAGAAGATTATTTTGCATGAGTCCGTATTTTGTGAAATTTCCCCAAAAAATATTTATAAAACTTGATTTTACACCAATCAATCAAAATCAATTAAGCCAAATAAAATTGCTATGCAATGGCCTTATAACAAAGTTTGTTCAATTCAATAATCCTTAGACATTAGTTCCCGTTTAAACAGTAAATGTGTTAGAAAGTAAACGTAATGTTATAGCAATTTCATAATTTGTAAAATATTAATGCTAATTACTGATAAAAATAAAACCTCACTTTGTGAACGTTTTATATTCGTTTAATTTGTTGGACTAATCTCTCAAACTAAACCAATGATCAAAATTTTAACGAGGTGATCATAAGCAAACCAGCGAAAAATAGCAACATAACACCCATAATGTCCGATACTCAATCCCAGTAAGTAATGAAATGATTATTTAATTCCTTCACAGTAAATAATTACGACAATAGCAATCTATTTAATGCATGTTGATCATACTGGTCAGCTTATAATTATAACTGGCCCGGCCCGGGGCTTCGATCATAATTACATTTCGACATAAAAGTCCCAGTTTAATATCACATGGACAGATCCAGTTGAATAATCAACGACTGATTATCTCTGCAGATTATTGTTTGAATATTAATCCGCTAACCTCGAGTTTCTAGGATTATTTAAAACATTTGCCTGTAAATAATATTGTTGAATTAATCGGGAATTTAGTGAAATAATCATTGCAAGATTGTGGTTTGGATATTTTGTTTATTTAGATTTTTAGAAGACTTTTAGATATTGTTACGCGATGGTGATTGCATCGTTAGGACTATTAACGATGCAAACAGAAATATTATTGTTTTCTTTTCATTCCTAGATATGTAATTAAGGAATTTAATATTCTTAGATTAAATAGTTTTACTAATTATTAGCAACCTATTTTGTTAAGAATAATTTCATTGCTAGCGTATCCTGTTAGTGGCTCATTCTACTATGGAGAGTAAGAGAGAGAGAGAGTAGATGGAGAGTAAAAGTGAGGTTAACATGATACAGCACTGACTGTTTGTGATCCTAAAAATTGTTATTTTTCTAAGTTTTAAAGAGGTTTTATTTTAAAATTTGTGTTGTATAATCAAGTCTTACCAATTTATTGCAAATTGAATGGATAGACTGCATTTTTTAGTGAAAAGTTTTCTTTAGAAGCAGGCAAATAACACCACATAACCTACAATGAAATTTAGGTAAATAATCTACATGTATGATATAACATCTGTAAACAAAAAGTGCACTTAACTGTCTCCAGTGAATATTAAGTGAACCACTGTAACTGAGATTATCAACTTACTAAAAGATAGACAGAGAAATCAACATAAACTGCAAGGTCATTGTGCCTAGGCCAACAGTGAAACAGAACTAAAAGGTCTTATCTCTTATCAGTGGGCATATTTTGTCAATTAGCAGGCAATATTCCTGAGTCTGTGTAAACCTATTGACCTCTATTTTTTATTTAACAGAATTTTAAGGAAAGGAACAATTTACAATAATTTACTTTGGTAAAATAAAAATATAACCCTATCACCCTACAACTATTTTAAGTGCGCTTCGTTTCTGTAAATTGATTATGTCTCTTTTATGTTATAATATTTGATTTTCTAGAGAACTAAATATATGGTTAAAATATATGGATATTTGGTTTGCTTATTGTAAAACTGAATTGAACCATATAACTTATAATATTTTGGGGTACTGGTATATTTAACAATGCACGGACAATAGTTATTATAATGGAGCACAAATTCCATAAAGGTGATAAAGTATTTGCTAAGGTCAGAGGACATTCACCCTGGCCTGCTCTGATAAAAAACATAGATACCAGCAATAAGTTACCTAAATATGAGGTGTACTTTTATGGAACCAAAGAAACAGCTACAGTCAAAGAAATTGACATTTGTTTATTTATAGAAAATAAATCACGCTTTGGTAAGAGAAAAAATAAAGATTACATACAAGCTCTAAAAGAAATTGAAACTAGTTTCAATAAATCACAAAATCAAAATAATTCTTACACCACTCTAGAAAGAAGCAATATTGAATTTGACACCACAGCACTTTCACTCTCAACAATGCCAGCAACGAGCAGTCCGATAATTTGCTCAAATCTACAGTCCCCAATAATCGTGGCTGATATGACCACAGATAAACACAAAATTGACATCAATGAGACTCAAGAAAAAATAGGCACTGGAAATGTTGTGAGCTTATTGGGACCTAACTGGATAGTTGACGATGTAATTAGACAGTATTATGAACTGTTAAGTAACCGTATAATAAAAAGCAATGAAATAATGTGCTTAAACCCTGTTATCTGCCAGGCCGTAAAAATGTTGGAAGATTATCAATTTGTTTTGGAACCACTGAATATCAAGCAAGCCAAATATATTTTTATTCCTGTTAATGATAGTACAGATGTAATGGACATAACAAACAATGAAACAACAGAACCATTGAAATGTGGATCACATTGGAGCCTCTTAGTTTTTGATAAAAATAATGCCAAGTTTTTTCACTATGACTCTATGAAGAATTATAATCTGAAATCTGCACAGACTCTTGCAAATAAGTTCTACAATTTTTTGTATCACACTCCAGGAGAGAAAGCTGATCTATTAGTAGTAAAGCAGTCACCCCAACAACAAAATAGCTACGACTGCGGTGTTTTCATTCTTGCGATTACTGACCTTGTCATTGGTCATCTACTTTATGGTGGCAATACAACAGTCAATCTAACCAACCTCAAATTTCCTACACATTTTACTGCAGTGGAACTAGTTACAAAAAGATCTCAAATTGCTTATCTTTTGGCAAACAGAAATAGTGTTTCTGAACAGCTGGTGAAATCTTTATTGACACAACATAAGGTTTCACTGAGTACACAAGCAAGCAACTGCCAAATCCCGAAAAATAACTGGATATTAGTAGATAAAGGTCCTAAAGCCACTAAACTAAAGCAAAATGAAACCGTTAAGTGTTCCAACAGGTTTAGCGTTCTGAAAACTGTGGGTGAGGATAAATCGGAACTACCATTTAGATCAGAAGCACTGCCCACGTCTCTCTCAAAAAAATCATTTGTTCCTCATAAGAAAAAGCATAGAGTACTGCTGTTGACTGATAGTCATGGACGCAAGTGCGGAGAGTTACTTCAAGACCAGCTGGGTAGTGCTTATGGTGTTACATCTATAGTAAAGCCTAGCGCACCACTGAGAGAAATCACCTCAGATGCTGAGAAACTGTCAAAAGACTTCAGTACCAAAGATTATGTGGTGGTTGTCGGTGGTACAAATGACATTACAGATAAGAACAACCAATCTGTGAATTTGGACTTAACTTTTATCAATGAGGTCTCTAAGAAAACAAATATCTTAGTTCCAGGCATACCGAAAAGATTTGACAGGCCAGCACTGAACGGGACCATAATTGGAATCAATAAAAGTGTTAATAAACACATCCAACAGCTCACAACAACTAATGACAACATAATACCTGTTAACAATTTTAAATTGAATATTAAGGATCACACTAGGCATGGATTGCACTTTAATAGATCTGGGAAAGTCAAACTCTGCAAGGCAATCTCAGCAGCAATTTTAAATAATTCCAATCAGAGGCGAAGAAGAGCAAAGATGGACGAAAACAAAGAAGAGAAAATTATAAATAAGGTGGAAAATTTGCTCTCTGATCATATCCAGAACTCTAGTGAACAAAATAGTACCATTTTGCACCCTACACATTTCTCTACACAGGCACCAACACAACAGCAAGATGAATATGCAAAAGAAAAAAAGAATTGTTTTGAAAGAGACCACCTGACTGCCAACCTACCACTTGAAGGCATTCATGTTATTGAAGCTGACATGAGGGATTTTTTCTCTAAATTTAAAG